TTTTTTCCTAGAGTTTATAGTTGTTATCAATGGGAGAGTTGGTCTTAAGGGGCTTATACTGTTATACTGGAAGCAGAACTCCTCAAAAAATTGAAACTGTAGTTAAAAACTTTCCCACAAAACAGGAATTATTGCTAACTTTTCAGTGTGTATGTTAGTTTTCTCTTGCTATATAACAAATTACCACACATTTAACAGCTTCAAACAACAGACATTAAACATCTTGCAGTTCTGTAGGTCAGAAGTCCAGGCACAGAGTAGCTGGTTTCTCTAGGTTAGAAAGCTCACAGGCTGCAATCAGAGTGCCAAGCTGCTGGGTTCTCACCTGGAGCTCAGCTCCTTCCCAGCTCATCCAGGTTTGTGGCAGAATTCAATTTCTTGTGGCTGTAGGACTGAGGTGCCTTTTTTTGCTAGCTGTTGGCTGAGGGTTGCTCTCCGCTTCGAAAGGCCACTCTTAGGTCCTTTCTATGTGGCCGCTTTCATCCTAAGGAAGCTCCCTCATAGTGAATGCTTCTCACACTTTGACTATCTCTTGCCAGGAAAAACCCCATCCTACTTAAGGACTTATCTGCATGGATCAGACCAATGGAGGATAATCTCCCTATTTTAAAAACAACTGATTTGGGACCTTAATTACATCTGTAAAATACCCTCATAGCAGCACCTAAATTAGTGTTTGATTAATAAACCGGGAGAAGGTGTGTATATAGCAGGGGCCAGGAATCTTGGAGGACATCTTAGAATTCCGCCCACCATAGTGTGCCAGTGGTATGGTTGTTAAGTTTCTGTTGAAGAGCTTTACCTTTTAAAGACATATATTAAATAATAATATATCTATAGTTATAGATCTTTGCCTCAGAATAATCTGGGGTGGGAGTGGGGTATAGATGAAACAAGAGTGGTCATGTGTTGATACTGCTGAGGCTGGGAAATGAGTACGTGGAGTATTCATTACCTTATTTTCTCTACTTTTGCCAATGTATTAATTTTGTCATATAAATTATTTTGGAGCATAGAGAATTTTAAAAACTTCCAAATGTTTTTATGAAGCAATTATAACAGTATCTAAATCAGGTAAGGGTAGCATAAAATTACTTAATTTAGTATTATATTATCTTAAGAATATTACTTATTTCAGTATTACTTAAGAATATTAATGCAAAAATTCTCAAGATGTTGCCTTACAGAATTTGGCAATATATAACGAAAGTAAATATACATTTACCTTTGACCCAGTAATTCCATTTTTTTAGAAATTTACCTTGAAGACATATCCACAATAATATGAAAATACATAAATGCCCATAAATATATTGATTGAAAAAACCTTGGTATATTCACACAATGGGGTACTGTACTATGTAGCTGTAAAAAAGAGTATGATCTTTTTCACATGTTAGTGAACTAATATGTGGTGCTTTCCAGGATACATTGTTAAAAAGGATATATTGCAAAAGTTCAAAAGCATACACACACACACACACACACACACACACATTACCTTTTTGGGTAAGAAAGGAGAAATAAGAAAATGTGCATATAACTGCTCACTTTTTATAAAAAGAAGCACAGGAAGGAATAAACCAGAGTCTGATGTGATTTTTTTGCCCATAAGAGGTAAGAGGGAATGAGTGAAAAGGATTGGAAAGGCGGTGGGTGTGAAACTGACACTTATCTGAGTATACCAATTTGTATAATTTTAACTTTGAAACTGTTAACGTTTTACATAATCAAAAAATGAATAAAGTCAACAATCATGATCCTAGATTAGACCCCCAACCCAGCTGACCGGGTCAGCCATAACTATAAAGAACGTTGTTGGGACAAATGGTGAAATTTGAACGTGACCTGTGGGTTAGATCAAAGTTTCCCAAATTTTCTTTGTTCAAGTGCCTGTAATGTCTCAGTAAGTTTTTTCAGAGTGCCCCTTGGCCAAAAGGAGTGTCTAAGTCCAAACAACTTATCAAGCATTTATGCCCTAACGATTTAGTAGCCATTTGAAAAAATAATACATGTAAATTGAAAGCAAAACAATATTTTTATTTCATTCTTATAATAAATAACCAAATTACTTACTAATGGGAGGTTGCACCTGTTGAAACCTTAGGATCAGATTGGA